TTCCCGCTGTAACTCGCAGAAGCAATCACTACATAATCTGCCAGATAATGGCATATTGCAGAAAATAATTATTCATAGGCAAAATCGACAACAAGCAGTTCTCAAATGTAACAAAACACAATCCATAATTTTTTACCTGGTTAGTTCTTCTGGACATGCCTGGTGCTCTCCCTGCTGATGACATTGGGATAGATCAATTCCTTTCCTGGTATTATTCATAACAGTCAAGTGAATTGGTGGGTTACTTAATGATACCCATGTACCCTAATAATACTTGCCAATATTGTGAATCTTCCTTAGGATAGATTTCATTGCCATGTAATGTCTTCCTTTATTATCATCACAGGTTTCTAGTACCCTACTGGCTAATGTTAACCTCCAGAGATGGCACAAGGGCACCCTTTCACCTACCCATTTCCTTAATTATTTGCCTTGTCATCTCTCCCCTTGAGAGACACTTGAAACATGTCTAGTTATAAGATAGTACTGATCATGGTTAATAACCAACTAACATTAGTAATACATGCTTGGTTTTGCGCTCTTCCTTGGAGATATTGGATATGCAATCAATAATCAGATTGGTTGTTGTGATGTGGAGGTGCTAGTGTTGGACTGGGGTGGACAAGGTCAGAAATCACGACAAAGTTTATAGTCCATCAGGTTTATTTGAAAGCACAAGCTTTTGGAGCATAGGCCCTTCATCAGGTGAAGTGACACAGAAGCAAACAGAATTTATAAGTAAAAGACCAAAGGGTCTCAACAGATGATATGTTAAACAAACCTAAAATGTTATTAAATCATTAATCAGTTAATCAGTTTTAAATGATAAATATGTATATGTAAATCCCTAAATTTCTTTCAAGTCGCTACCCTAAGAGAACGAAAGAGAGAACACACACTTTCTCTTTCTCCTTCTCTCCCTCGCAAAAACACTCTGTCTCTGTCTCTCTGTCAGTCTCTCCCCTCATACACACCCGCCCATAGAAATCCATGGGGTGAATTTGTGCTATTTTGTTTAAAAAGCACACAATTAATGGACAGTCAGTCATTCTGGCATGTTATACATTCCTTCTTTAGAAGTAAAATCAGGCTGACTCCAAGCCAAAACACACACAGGTTCTAAACATGGCCTCACACCTAACGTGCATTGTCTGACCTAAAATATCACCTCTGCTTTACACTGATAAAACCTTTTAATTCTCTCAGGGCAGTGACTTGAAAGACATTCGTGGATTTATATATACATATTAATCAGTTAAAACCTTCTAACTGATTAAAAATTTAACAGCAACTTAGGTTTGCTAATACATCTTCATCAGTTGTGTGACCTTTTGATCTTTTACTTAATCTGTGTTCTGTATGCTTCTTTCTCACTTCTCTTGAAGTGGCTATGCTGCGAAAGCTTGCATTTTCAAATAAACCTGTTGGAATATGACCTAGTATTGTGACTTCTGGCCAGATTGGTTTTGTTCTGGAGGGGTTTCAAAAGCTTCTAGAATCACTTGAGATGATTCCTGTCCTAGCTTACTAGTTTGCTTGGTCTCAGTTTCTCATACTTAGAATTATTTACACTTTTTGCTGTAGGGACTGTATCTGAGTCAAGCTTCCCAGTATCGAGGGTATTAACTGTTGCTATTCCAGAAGTATATCTGGCGCTGGCTAATTTGAACAAGCCTTGCTTTTTCCTACCCTTTACTGCCTTAAAATCATTTACTTCTAATGTGTTTGGTGAGCTGGCACCATTTGAGTATTTATATCTTAAAGGTTAAAAAATTGGGGGAGGGAAGGAGAAATGTATTTTTTTTTGCCATGTGAGAGCTTTGGTACCTTCTCACTTGTGTTCTGATTTTCACATATGAGACATGGAATTGGGGCTAATCTCCTCATTAGTTTTCCCTAAAATACCATGGTTAATCTTAAGAAATATTACATTGATTCTTAGGGTTAATAGAAATATGTAGTCATCCATTGACTTGCTGTTGGACAGAAAAAACATTTCATCCAGTTCAGAAGCAACTGTTTTACTTTTGTTGTAGAATTTGCTTCCAAAGCTCAGCTTTTAATTTATTCAAGAAAACAATTTTCCAATGTAGCTTCCACTTCAGGCCAGACGGAGAAACACAGGTGGAGATAGAGTTTAATCTTCTGCCGGTGAGCCTGTTTGCAGGGAGAAAGATTAGATAAAACTTAGTCTTTTAGTGAGAGCTTTAATGCAAGCATAATGAAAGACTTTGTATCAGGGTAAAATTATGCACATACTTTTTCCATTTTAGAATGAATATTATAAATGTGCTCATGACATGTGAACAGCTGTTAAGCATATTGCATAACTGAAATTTCATAGAACCATCTAGTCTTTAAAGTTTATAATGTTTGATAGGAAATTACTGTCATTATTGCTTAATAGTCTAATGTTAACATTACAGGGATCTATGTAAATTCTGGTCTGGACTACGCAGTTTATATTTGACCACCTATTTTGTTGTTCTTGATTTGAAAGAGGTACTCAATACATTTTGAGGTTTCAACTTTTATAACAGCATGTTCTGTCTTCTGTTCTCAAGTCTGCAGTTTAATAGTTTCACAAGTTTTATATTAAATTGGTTTTGTTGTCATGAATGCAATACTTTTTGTCCAGTAGATACTACTTACCATGATTCCAAAATTCCCATTATGTGGATCAGTTGATTGTGCAATAAAAAAGAAAAATATTACTGAAGTAGCAATCAATTAACATTACACTGCACCATGTTTTGAATCTGTCGAATAAATCTTTTATTTCCTTGATTTCATGGGATGTGGGTATTACAATGGCAGTGTTTTATCATCCATCTCTCATTGCCTTCAAGGAGGAGATGATCAATCACATGAACCATTGCAGTCCTTTTTGTGTTGGTATACTCAGTGTATTGTGGAATTTCAGAATTTTGACTCCATGGCCATGAAGGATCAAAGCTGTATTTCTAACTTGATAGTATGAGCATTGGAATCAAGCTTGCATGGAAACACCACCAATTGCTGTTGCTGTCCATGGTGTTCAAGGACCAATTTTTTTTTAGCAGGTTTAAGGAAAATGATCTCGCAGATTATCGTCAAATTCATTGAATCGCTTGTTCTTCTGGCCTTCATGATTTGGATTCCTGTTAAGTGACACAGAATTCTATTACAAATTAGAATACTAAGAATTTCCAACCTCTAATTATTGCAGGAGGACTGAGGCAGATCAAGGAGAAAACCCACTATTACTTAGTGATTCTCATAAGTAAACGAGTTCCATCATTTAATTGGAAATGTAAGAATAAATTGTTATTTTCCTCAAGTTGATATATGAAGTGAATCTAGAGTCCTTTGCCACCTCTGCTAAAGGAACGCACCAGTGCTGTTGATTCAAGTTGATAAACAACTTAAATTGATAGAAATAGAAGCAAAATACTGCAGATGTTAGAGATCTGAAACAAAAAAGTACTGGAAAAACCAGTGGGTCTGGTCAGACTTGTGGAACAAAAAACTGCATGAACATTTCAAGCCTGATACGACAGTTCAGACCTAAGTTTGATAGAAGATTTTGCAAGTTCTCTGGTTTCACAACTGTTGGATTCTAAAATGCATCATTTGCTTGAAAATTGTGGTCTTTGACATATTTATATTTTGTGTTTTGTAGGACATTGGATTTTTTGCTGAAAGTGATAATGAGAGCTATGTGGTTTGCGGGTGGCTTTCATTGGATGAGTATAAAAGGGCGCCGTGCTTTGCCCAAAGAAGCACCTATAATGACATTAGCACCACATTCTTCATATTTTGATGCAATTCCAGTTACCATGACCATGGCTTCCATTGTAATGAAGGCAGAAAGCAAAGACATTCCTATATGGGGAAGTAAGTAATTCTTTACTGAACATGATGATGTAATGGATGTAAAATTGCAGGAATTGGTCACCATGCCTGTTACTGCAAGACTACTGTACTGACCCTGTACTCACCATTTACTAACATCATTGGCAGTTGACCCATTTATGTATATCTGTATCATGTTCATTGATTTCAGGTATTGAAAGCTGAGTCATAAAAGAATTGGAAAACCAGAACTTATTCCTGAAGTGTGGCTGGTAAATTCACATTACTGTTGCATTGTAGTTAGGTGACTTTCATAAACCACTGGTTTATTTTTTCCACCGATTGCCAGAAACAACAGCATAATGTTTCTACACTGTTCTGATGGGAGATTCAGTTTACACACAAATCTATTTACTCAAGCGTTACAATTTTGGTAACCATTTTAATTATGTATTAATCTTTTAATAAGCAGTTGCAATGCAGCCATTTAGTCAAGAATCTTCAAATGCCATAGTTATTTCATATTGAGTATTTATGACAAGATTCCCATGAACGCTTTAACACGGAAGATTTTACAAACAAGCATGCACGTGTAATTTTTTTTTTTATTTAGCAGAAATGTTTTGGCATGGAAGTGTCCAAAAGGCAGTTGAATTTGCTAATGCTTTATTTGTGTTGCTGAATAAACTAAGTTACACTGTTGTGACAGTGCTAATCAATTCTCTTCTCTGGGCTGATTTGTAGTCTGAACACACAGTGCAATCCTTATTTAATATTCAGCTTTTCAAATATTTAGCAGTATAAATCTACTTTACAGAATGCTAAAGAATTAGTGCACTCATCCTGAGGTTCAGATAGTGATAGAAAGTAGTTTGAGTGTTATGATCACACGTTAAGATGCTTCTCAGCAGCTTAAGATTACAGTTTCAGTCATTCAGATATCCACTTTGTTATTTGTTATTCAGTTGATTTATTTATCATGTATATCTAAGTACAGTGAAAAGTTTTGTTTATGAGCGGTACAGGCAGATCATAGTATGCAAGGACATACAGATCAAAGGGTGTAAAAAGAAACTTGGAGACGTACAGGTTACATTGCACAAGGCAAGATCGACATTAGCAAGATCTGCGTTATTTGAAGTTAAAGCACTTATTCATTAGTCTAATAACGGCCAGCTTATTTCAGTGATGTGAAAACTTCCGCTTTTATATCCTTTAATAATTAGTGTTAAGATTAACCTTGTTCCAACAATGTATTTTTCATAATTGTGTGTATACTATATTGTAAAATTCTAATGAGTCACAGAATTGCATGGAATATATTTTATAGGTAGTACGGAAGTGAATCAGTTCAGGGTGATATCGTCATGTAATGGTACACACAAGCTTTCAAAATATTCACTATAGTTTTCTGCCTAGTTAAGTTTCCAACAGCTTCCATATTCATAGTCCATGCCTACAACTGAAGAAGCCATTCAGTTTCCAAAGGCTCAGTGGAGCGAGCACCCCCAAGTTATGAACAGCCAAATCAAATTGCGAATTCAAATTGCATTATTTTTTAAAACTAGTGTGGACATCACCATGACTCATCTAATTTTCTTCCACGATTTCTGAACTATTCCGTGTCTGCTGCTGATCAAGATGTATAACTTGCGAATCATGAGAGAAGTAAGCAATTTCACCTATTGAGTGTGCTCTAACATTCAGTAAGATCATATCTGATCTAACTATGGCCTTAATTCCACTTTTTCCTTTCTGTCCCCATAACCCTTGACTCACTTAAGAACGAAAAATTTGTCTGGCTCATTTCCAGCTGTCTGACTCAGCCTCTAATCTATAAGTTTTGAAGCAAGTTCTTTTAAGGGCAGCACGGTCTGTGTGGACTTTGCACATTTTCCCCAGGTCTGCATAGGTTTCCACTAGTTTGTCTGATTTCCTCCCACAAGATGCACAGGTTAGGTGAACTGGCCATGGTAAATTGCCCTATAGTGTCCAGGGATGTGCAGGCTAAGTGAATTAACCATGGTAAATGCAGGATTATGGGGATAGGGTGCGAGGTTAGGGTCCGTGTGGGACGTTCTTTGGAGGGTTAGTGCAGACTCAATGTGGGGACTCTGATTTGAGTTCTAATACTCAAATCCCAAAATTAATTGATTTATTTTATTTTAACCAATAAGGCAACACTCTGGTTGTAGGAAACTCTTAAGTTATAAAATTACTTACCAAAAAGCAGGGCAGTGATTTTATGAATGTATTGTGGTTCGTGGTTCGTGGTTCTTGGTTTCTGGTTTAGCTTAGAGTGCTGGCTGGCTCCTCCTTCCTGCCCGATTATTTTCTAATCAACCTGTTCAGAGATATGCACACCTCTGTAATAGGTGGGACTTGAACCCAGGCCTCCCTGATCCGGAGGTAGGGACTCAACTACTGTGCCACAAAAGCCCCACAAACGCGCTCACATGTGGGGCCTGATCATTGAAAGCTACAGCTTATTACAAAGCTCTGAAGAGTCATCTACGCACAATGTTAGGCTGCTGTCTCTCTATGGATGCTTCCTGACCCGCTGTGATTGCCAGCATTTTTTTTCACTACAGTTTATTAACTCTTTTCAAGCCAATGGATTATCAATTACATCATTACATTCTGATTTGGTCTAAGCTAAGTTTATTGCTAATTGATTTAAGGGATGTATTATCAGTCTGTATTTGGCTCTTGAGGGTGGTGGATAATAATTGATGTCACCCCATTGTCTCTTGACTGGTTTAAGTTGTCAGTTATCTATGGATCCAACCTGTTCAGTAAATTTTGTTATTTTTGACTCTAAGATAAATATTATTCGGCTCTTTCTCAAAAGAAAAGGGAGGCTTATGCAAAATGAATTCAAAGATTGGTATGTATGAACTTTGGTGTCAATCATTACTTAATTGGTGAAGTTCCTATTGAATCAAACACTTATCAAACATCCTTCCACAACACTGAAAGGTCCCCCTGGTCCTCGCCTATCACCCTACCAGCATTCACAACCAAAGGATTATTAGCAACCATTTCCACCACCTCCAACAGGATGCCACTACCAGATAAATATTCCCCTCTCCTCCCCTCTCCTCCCTTGTCAGTTTTCCGCAGGGACCATTCTCTCTGTGACAACTTGATCCACTTCTCCTTCACTCCCAGTGCCGCCCCACATGCCAAGGCACCTTCCCATGCAATCTAACACCTGTACATTCTAATATATTCTACTAAATTCAGTACTCAAAATGTGGGTCTCCTCTGTATTGAGGAAATGGAACAGTCTGGGCAATTGCTTTGCAGAACATCTACATTCTGTCCGCAGAAAGGACCCCAAGCTTCCCATTGCCTGCCACTTCAACACATCACTGTGTTTCCTGGCCAACATCTCTGTCTCAGGCTTGCTCCAGTGCTCCAGCGAAGCTTAGCGCAAGCTGAAAAAACAGCATCTCATTTTCTGCTTGGGAACCCTGCAGCCTTCAGGAGACAGTGTCACGTTCAATAATTTTAGGGCCTGAGTACCTCATCCACATTCTTACCCCCAACCCCTGTACACCAGGCCTTGACATGGGCTGTTACCACAATCAAGCCATTGTCAACTACCAGTGGTCCCCATGAGGAGCTGTTGATTCTCACAGGCTGACCTGCACCATTCCTTTGTCTGCCGTATCGCAGTCCTCTCTGGGCTCCATATCCGCCTGTTGTTTATTCCCACATGCAGCCAGACCTACTGTGTTTTTCCAGCAATTTGATATTTTTTTCTGATTTCCAGTATCTGCATTTCTTTCATTTTATTTAACACATTTATCACTGAACATTTTGTGTTTTTCCCCCCGGTTTGATTCTGCTGTGTGGAATGCTTGGAAACTATTTGCTTTTTTTACTTTCCCTTAACACACAAGATCAGAAATTATGCTTTCTACAAGTTGCATAGGATCTAATAAAGTCTAAGGATTATGCAGTTACAAACTTGCATTGTTGCAAAATTAACTCCAATAAATAAGTTATATTTAGTTAATTACTAAAATTTTCTAATATATCAATTCAAGGGCCTAGCTGTGGTCGTGATTCCTTGAAAAGGGATAACGAGCTTGGGAGTGTACCATCATTGTCTAGTCAATGGAAGTCTGGGTCAGAAACAAAACTGCCACCTCTCAGCCTTGAAGCTGTAACTCTGAAACGTTAGTTATTGTCTTCACTCTGTTTGTAATCCCATGGTGCATTTCTTTGTTACAGATGTTAGCATGTCAAAATTGGCTCTGCTTAAGCAGACTATAATGTCAGATTAATATATTGGTTTTAATTTAGTTATAATGAGAATTGTAAAATGTTAGTTTTCCAAATAATCCTACAAATGCTATCTGAGGAGGATAATTGTGGCAAATATCCATCAAGAAATTTACTTTCCTCTGCCTTGAGTGAGAGACCCCTTAATTTTAAACTGTCCCCTAGTGGCACAGTGGTTAGCTGTCTGACAGCACCAACTTTTGTGCAGTTGGTTGTTGCATCCGCTTTGGACACTAAATCCATTATATCTACTGGTAACACTTTACAGATGTAACAACCAGTTTTGATAAAGAACCTTAAAATTGCTAAACAAAAGTTTCCTTTTACAAAATGATGTTGATTCTATCTGACTGTACAGTGATTTTCTAAAAGCACCTCCTCAACAATAGATTCTATCATTCTACCAATGGCAGATGAGTGATTAGCCTGCAGTTTCCTGCATTCTGCCTTCCTTTCTTGAATAGATGTTATACTTGCAGAATTTCAATCCTTTGAGACCGTTTCAGATTCTAGACAATAATTCTAGAAATTACGACCAGTGCATCCACTGTCTGTGGTCAGCTTTTTTAGGATCCTAGGATGTAGGCTATCAGATCCAGGGGACTTGTCACCTTTTGGCCCTGTTAGTTTTCCTATTGTGATAATTTGAAGTTCATCCCATCCCTTTTGCCACCTGCTTTTCTGCTATTGCTGGGATTTATATTTAAAATGTTTTCTGCTGTGAAGACCGATACAAAATAATTGTTCAC